CTCCAGTATGGTGCCCCCCGCCATCCCAATGAAAGCCTGGACCTGCTTCTTGGGCTGGGGTACAGGCCAGTCCCAGATGGCCTCCACTTTGGCCGGCTCTGGCTTCAAGCAGCCACTCCCCACCTTATGGCCCAGGTAGGACACTTCAGCCATTCCAACATTGCACTTCCCAGCCTTTACGGTCAGCCCAGCAAGTACCCCCACTACGTCACACTGGGTCCGGTAACTGAGGGGGTCGGGTTTGCCTGGGAGGGGAGAGAAGGTGGAAACCGGGTTTGGTGAATGGGGCGGGGTTCGGGAAGTGCGTGGACGCGGATGTGTGTGGAGGGGAGACAGGAGTAGGCTGGGTTTGGCCGGAGGGCATGGTGGGAGTCAAAGAGCCACAAGGTTGCCAGTGCCTGTCCAGCAGCGGGCCAAAGGGCGACCAAAAATGTTATTGCTTCAGGCGGCAAAAAACCTAGAGCCGGCCCTGAGTTGAACCCAAATAGTTTGTAATTGTGATGTTGTTAAAATGAAATGAGGACACTAGTAGGAAGTGGCTTTATTTCCCTAACTACACATTTTCTCTTTTCATTTTTTTATTTTAAACAGTCAAAAACAAACAAGCAAAATTGCAAAATGCAAATATGTGTAAAAACAACTAAAGGGTCAGAGATTAAAGATCAAAGGGCATAGGGTGTAGGAGTGGGGATCAAACAGTGTTAGGCAATGGGGAGCAAGGAGCTGGCTTGGGGCTAGGCAGACCAGTAACATTTAATTTGCGTTTTCATTGTTTCCATATGAATATGCTACCGGTCCTCCAAACGTTTTGAATGGGTTTGCCGTTCTGTGGCATAAAAAAGGTTGGGAACGACTGCACCAGAGCATCGCATGACAGTGAGTTTTCCTGGTGGAGTCTGCGGTATGTGAGAAAGCATGTCCTGCGTGTATTTCTGCTGCTAGCTCTGTGTTAGTTCCTCTCGTTCTTGCCTTGGGAGAAAAGGGCAGATCCCTCGTTTCTCTATTTACCTTTTCCAACAGGATTCATGAGTGTGTAGAACTCTATAATATCCCCCTAAATCATTTCTTTTCTCCATAGCTAGCTAGTTAGATGGAGGCGTTATATGGGGATAGACAGACAGACAGATGCTGTCCATAATGGAGACACTCGATACAGCTTCTGTCAATTTAAAGATGTTTCCTGTCCCGCCCTGCTTGTCTGCTTAGAAACCGCTTCCCCTTTTTGTACCAGGCCCTGCGTTGCTCCGTGTCACTGTGTCTCCCCTGGCGCAGTAATAAGCGGCGGTGTCTGCAGCTGTCAGCGAGCGGAGCTGCAGCGAGAACTGGTTCTTGGCGGTGTCTGCAGAGATGGTGACTCGGCCCTGGAGAGACGGGGCGTAGTTTGTGGCCCCGCTGCTGTATGGATATACCCGGCCCATCCATTCAAGCCCTTTCCCAGGGGGCTGCCGGATCCAGTTCCATGTATAGCTGCCGTCAGTGATGGACACACCCGAGACAGCGCAGCTCAGGGTGAGGGTCTCTCCGGGCTTCACTGTCCCTGGGCCCGACTGGACCAGCTGCACCTGGGAGCGAACACCTGAGAAAAGGGAAACAAAGGAGAAAAAGAATTAGCCACAGAACCCGCCTACAGATCTGTCTCTGATTTCTCCCCCTGCCTCCGTCTCATCCACACTCACAGATGGGGGCGGCGAGCAGGGCAAGGAAAAGTAGCAGAGGTTCCATTCTCGTGTCTGGGCAGAGACTGAGGCTCCTAGATCCGGGGGGGTATGCGGGTTGCACCCAGCGGATATAAGATGACAAAGAGACGTCTAAGGGGGGGAGCGCTGTCTGGCGGAGCCACCTGCAACTCGTCATCACTTACGGGCTTGGATGGGGTGGTCACAGGACTGTAGGAAAAGCCTTTCCTCTGAGTGTCATGGGCCTTGGGACACAGGGTTTAGCGGGATCTGGTGCCCTCCAGCTGCGGCTCCTGAGAATAGAGATGGCACAGATTAAACCAGAGCACAGACACAGCCGGTGGAAATGAACTGCCATGGGAACGATTAAAGGGGAAGGTGATGCCTTTCTGTAACACTAATTAATTAATATCTTGCCCCGCGGACAGAGCCAATAGGGAAAGTGGTGGAGGGACTCTGGGCATTGGGCAGGGGATACAGATAAACAGCTGCCGTGAGGCAGGAGGGAACGGAGACCGGAAGGGACGATGCAGCTTTGGGGTTCGTGCCATGAAGAGCTTTGACTGCGCTCGGGGGATCCCAGAGTTAACAGGCTGGGGGAGCAGCAGCTTGTGGGGTTTGTGTCAGTGGCAAGTTAATCACCTCATGGCTATTTAGCCCCGACGGCAAATCTGGAACCACCTGACCCGAACCCCTGCAGCGCAGGGATCGCTGGGCAACGCGCCAGCACGGAGTGTTCCCAGGTACCGCCTGACCAACCCCAGGAGGTGATAATTGCTCATGCCCACACAGATGAGCTGGAACCACCTGACCCGAACCCCTGCAGCGCAGGGATCGCTGGGCAACGCGCCAGCACGGAGTGTTCCCAGGTACCGCCTGACCAACCCCAGGAGGTGATAATTGCTCATGCCCACACAGATGAGTAGGCGGGGCTTGTGCTTGTCAGTGACGGGCCCTGATGAATGGGGAGGGCTCAGGTTACTGCGACCTTGTGTCACGGGCTCGCTCCTCTCCCTGCGCCGCCCCGCCCCCTACTGGAGGTGCAGCGAGTGTTCCCCTACGTGTCTGTGCTCACCTCCGCATCCCGAAAGCGCAGCCGCCCAACGCGTGTGGGCTTTTCCTCGCTCTCTCTGCCCAGGGCCTCTGCCCACAGCTGTCCGTTTCCTTCTTTTATGTCGGTTTGACACCATCCCCGTGGCAGGTCGGAGGGGGCAGACCCACGTTGAGACTGAATTTGAGTTCACACAGATTTTTGGGACACCCCATTGTGGGGCACTAGGGAGAGTGTGTCCCACACAGGGCACGTGCTACAGAGAAATGGCCCGAGGTCTCTTTAGTTTAGCTTTTTTTTCGTATTGGGGTCACTTTGGCCGAGTCTAAAGAATGTGTGTGTGTGTGTGCGTGTGTGTGTCCTGTCCCAGCTGCCATCCACTCCAGCCCTTTGCCTTGAGGCTGCCGGAGCCCGTCCCCGGGGTAGGTTCTGTCAGTGGTGTCAACATCAGAGTGTTGTATCCTGCCTGGCCTTCGCTCAGCGCGCCCAGGGCAGGGCTGTTCTGCGCGTGTCTCTGCTGCCCCCGTGCGGCAGATGCGGGAAGTTCTGCAGCTCTGGTGTGTGTACGGGCAGCCGCAGGGTTCGTGTCACTGTGTCTCTCGCACAGTGTGACAATTGCTTCGGGAGGGGCCAGCTCAGTGTAAGGCCCGTGAGATCGTCCTGCTTAGAAACCGCTTCCCCTTTTTGTGCCGGGCCAGCAGCGCGCTGTGTCACTGTGTCTCCGGTGCAGTAATAGGTGGCGGTGTCTGCAGCTGTCAGCGAGCGGATCTCCAGCGAGAGCTGGTTCTTGGCGGTGTCTCCAGAGATAGTGACTCGGCCTTGGAGAGACCGGGCGTAGCGTGCGCTCCTATCATATGGATGCACATGCCCCATCCACTCCAGCCCTTTCCCGGGGGGCTGCCGAATCCAGTTCCAGGGGTAATATTGAGTAGAGATGGAGAACCCGGAGACAGCACAGCTCAGGGTGAGGGTCTCTCCGGGCTTCACCGCCCCCGGGCCGGACTGGACCAGCTGCACCTGAGCGAGGACACCTGGGGAAAGGGAAAGAAAACAGGGAACAAATTAGCCAGTCATTGAATCTCTGGCCCTGTCCCCAATTCTCTAAAACACTCACAGCTGGGAGCCGAGAACAATGAAAGGAAAAGCCACAGAAACGTCATTCTCGTTTTCATGCAATGAGCGGAACTCCCCAGCGGGCAGGGCCGGGCAGGTCTGTGTCTGGCAGAGACTGAGGCTCCTAGAACCAGGGGCTGGTATTTAACCCGGCAGCCCCGAGCAGGGATTTTCATGCAGGTTCCCAAGTGGGTATAAAGGAGGCCAGGGGCTGAGCGCTCAGTACAGGGCGATGTGCCCTCGGGGGCAGGTATTCCCTTGCTGTTCAGAGCACATGGAATGACGGGAGATGGTTTTATGAGGGGATAGGAAGCAGTGAGCACAGGGCCTGACTGAGATTCATAGAATCATAGAACCATAGAGCTGGAAGAGACCTCAGAAGGTCATCAAGTCCAGCCCCCTGCTCTAGGCAGGACCAATCCCAACTAAATCAACCAGTCCCATGTGGCTACGCTGATGGGAGTTTGAATCCCACCTTCCAGCTGCACCTGCTCAATACAGCGGAGATATTCCGGGACCTCTCATGAGATTCACCCGGTATTGTCTGCTGGAGACGGACTGTGCTGTCGCAGCTCCCATTGGCCGGGAACAACGATCCCTCCTGCAGGTTTCCCGACATTTTTTAATAGGCAAAGTGTCTCGTGTTTATCCTGCCCCTGCTGGTCATTCGCAGGCAG